CCCATGGGCCGGCGGCGGGCCTCAGCCGCGGCCTCCACTTCTCCGCACGCCGGCGGGATGGCGCCCGGGTCCCGGAGGAGCCGCGCTAGCCTAGGCCTGCTGCCGAGCTGCTAAGGCGAGCCCGCCAAACTCCCCTCCCCCTCCTCCGTCCTCGACCCCCCGCACCTCACCCCTTCCCCACCCCCTCCTCTGTCTCGGTCCCCGGCGCTGCTCCGGACCACTATGACCATGAGATCCGCAGTGTTCAAGGCGGCCGCGGCCCCTGCCGGCGGCAACCCTGAGCAGCGACTGGACTACGAGCGGGCTGCGGCGCTGGGCGGGCCCGAGGACGAACCCGGGGCGGCCGAAGCCCACTTCCTCCCCCGGCACCGTAAGCTCAAGGAGCCGGGGCCCCCGCTGGCCTCTTCCCAGGGCGGGAGTCCCGCGCCCTCCCCAGCCGGCTGCGGCGGCAAGGGCCGGGGCTTGTTACTCCCGGCCGGGGCGGCCCCTGGGCAGCAGGAAGAGAGCTGGGGCGGCTCGGTGCCCTTGCCCTGTCCGCCCCCGGCCACCAAACAAGCGGGCATTGGGGGGGAGCCAGCGGCAGCCGGGGCTGGCTGCAGCCCCCGACCCAAGTATCAGGCGGTGCTGCCCATTCAGACGGGCTCTCTCGTGGCGGCGGCCAAAGAGCCTACGCCCTGGGCTGGGGACAAGGGTGGGGCGGCTCCCCCAGCTGCCACAGCCTCGGACTCTGCGGGACCCCCACCACTACCTCTGCCCGGGCCGCCACCCCTCGCGCCCACCGCCACCGCCGGGACCCTGGCGGCCAGCGAGGGCAGATGGAAGAGTATGAGGAAGAGCCCTCTCGGGGGTGGCGGCGGCTCGGGAGCCTCCAGTCAGGCCGCCTGCCTCAAACAGATCCTTCTGCTGCAATTGGACCTCATCGAGCAGCAGCAGCAGCAGCTGCAGGCCAAGGAAAAGGAGATCGAGGAGCTGAAGTCAGAGAGAGACACGGTACGGAAGAGGTTAATCTGCGTTCGGGACGAGGAGCGAGTTCTGCGCATGCTCAGGGGAAGGGGGGCTGTAGGAGGTTAAGGTATCCCTTGGTTAGGGGTAAGGAGGTTGGCCACCAGCAAAGGAGTATGTTAGGTGACGGGTCCTTGGGATCCAGGCTCACAGACACGTTGGGTTGGAGGGAAGGGTTAAAGGGCACCCTCCCAGGCGGAGGGGGAGGGGAGGGTTCAGGTGCCAAAGGGTTAATTTAAAATGACAGCCCCAGACTTGTGGGAAAGGCGTTTAGAGTGGGAAAAGACCTGATTTATGAGGGGTTGGAAATGAAAAGGTGGGATGCATATGTAATGGTTTTATGGAAGGGGTTAAATTAAAGAGCTTTTGCGTTAGAAATGCATTCTGGAGGAGGGAGACATAGCAGCTGTTGCTCTAACCACTGCTGTAGCATCTTTAGATAGGGTTAGGAGGCCTTTTAATTGGCAGAGAGGTAGAGGTGATTCACAGAGGAATCCTATTTTAATTTTCTTAAATTCTATTAAGAGGATCACTGCTTTTGATTTCAGACAGTTTTTAATAGGAATCTGTTCTAAAATCTGACCCACTGACCAAGCTCCCTTGTATAAGCATGGTGTTTAGAGGCTGGAAGGTTTTAAGGCATCAGGGGAAAGTAAGCTTATTAAATGTGTTAAGTAGAGCCCCCCCCCCAAAAAAAAATCTCTATTTTAGAATCTTAAGGTAGTAGGGAAGTCATTTATTATTTCTTTGTACTTCTGAGGAGCATGACTATATAAGCTTGTTTTTTATTGCTGCAGTAGCTAAGGGCACCTTAAGCATTGAAACATATTCCTTCAGATATTAGGAAAGCTGGTGATGGAGTATTACTGTGCTAGCATACCTTACAGCTGCCTAAAAATAAACATGGTTTCTACAATTGTGTTCAGGCTGCAGCAGTCTCTCTCTCTCTCTCTCTCTCTCTCTCTCTCTCTCTCTCTCTCTCTCTCTCTCTCTTGTTGTGTGTGCCAAGGGCTGAGCAAGGGAGCAGAAGGCTATTCATTTTGTTTGCTTTCCAAATGAATCGCATCAGGCAGCGGCTGTTTTATTGGAGAATACGTTTTGCAAGGTGGAATGGGGGCTGGGGCAGGTCTCATTAAAATATCTCAATAGTGTTGATTTGTGGAAGTTACTCAACATGGAGGTGGCACTGCTCAGCTACTGTACTGCAGTCTAGGGGTGTGATGGTACTGTAATTACAACACATCATATCCTTACATGGGGGTGGGGGGAGAAGGACCAGTGAAGGAAAAGAAATCAAGGAAATGTCACCCACAAACCATGGTTAAGTAATGTTAAGACTGTGAATCACAACAGAAGGAGATGAAATGAGAGTATGGCTGACAGGGGGGCTCTCTGCTGATTGAGGAGGTTTCTGCTCAGCTCCTGAGGTAATGGCCCCTTAGCAGACTTTCCTAGGCAGGAAAAGTGGGGTGAGTTAAGGATAGAGTGTCAGTCTGAACTTGGCATTCACTGCTTCTGTTGTGTATTGGAGTCTTTAGTGTTGCTTAAGCTTGTTTCTTTTCTTGCAGTTGTTGTTTGGCCTCTACTGAAATCTATGCAGCTAAGTAGATGTAATGAAGGCAACATTAATATTACTGTCTAGCTCAAATAAAATTCTTATTATAGGGTATAAGTGACACAGTTGGTACCTTTTCTCAGAACATTTTATTATGAAGTTTTCAGTGATAATAGACTTCTATTTTCTGTTTGATTATGTAGTTTCCCTTTAGAGTTAAGACTGTTTTTAATCAATATTTAAATAAATTGTGTAATTTTCTTCTGTTATCTCAAGTGCAAAGCAATATGCATATTTCATCATTGATGGGATTTATGGGTACTGGTTTCTATTATAATTCTTCCAAATTGAGTGTTCATTGCTTAAGTGGTATCCCCCAATCCCCCACCTCACACACCCCTTTCATATAACACTGCAATCCCTAGGGGCACTGTAACTATGAGTGTTTAATTCCTTCTCAATGTACTGTTTGGACTTTGCCCTTGTACATAGTGTTTTGGAGTGGAAATAGGAAGGATAGGATTTGGAGAACCCTAGGTCCTCCTAAAAGAACCTGAGGTTAATTTTGGAAACTCCCAAACTGACTTGGAGCCACATGGTAGCAGTAGAGACCATGCCATTTAAAAGGCATGTTGTGCCCCCTCCCAGTGAAGAGGATCTTCTTTTAGAAACATGAATTACAAATTCCCCCACATCCCTCCCCTACTAGGTTAGCCCCTAAAATTAAGCAGTGTACTTTCTCTTCTCTATTGTGTTTAAGGAAAACTATTTAGGTTAATGTCTACCTATTAAAAATAAGTTGAATTGCTATAGCCCATTGAGAGAGTTAGAAGACCATACTGATTCCTAAATGGGGCTAAGTACCTGCATTTAATTTTGTGTGTTTTAAGTCTACATTTTGCCAATCTCTCTTTTAGCTCCTTGCTCGGATTGAACGTATGGAAAGGCGGATGCAGTTGGTAAAGAAGGATAACGAGAAAGAAAGGCATAAGCTGTTTCAGGGCTATGAAACTGAAGAGAGAGAGGAAACGGAGCTATCTGAGAAAATTAAACTGGACTGCCAGCCGGAGCTTTCTGAGACATCCCAGACGCTGCCTCCCAAGCCTTTCTCATGTGGGCGGAGTGGAAAGGGACACAAAAGGTGTGCTGATAACTTCGTTACACTTTCTAAACATGATAAGGACACTTACTTCCAGTGACTAAGAGTAGAGGATTGGGACTTATGAATTAGTTCTAAAACAACCATATCCTGAGGTCTTAGGTGCTGAGAAACTATCTTGAAATATTCTTGTGCAGGCTATAAAAGTCGTTTAGGAACATTTTGGTCACAGTAGTAATTACAGAATGCAGAGTACATCATAAAGAGAATGAGCCACAAATGTGACAGCTGAGTTTCTTAAAGAAAACTATAGCAGTTCACTTCAAGTTAGGAAGTGTTAAATTCCTTCATTGTGCTAGGCACTGGAAGACATAAAAAAGTAAGATCTAACTGTCCTTAGACTCAAAGAGATTAATCTAGCTGTGAGGATGGCGTAAATTTTAAAAACTAAGAATTCAACTGCAATAAAATATGCAGATAGAAAACAGTGAAACAAACTAAGTTTTGTAAGATTCAAGGATATTAAAGATTATTCTGAGTTAGAATAGTGAAACTTTAAGGAGGAGATGGAGAAGTATAGAATTTAGGTTGGTAAAAAGGGAAGGACATGGCATTCTAGGAATGTGGTGTGGGTGGGTGGGTTTGGTGGGAGAAAGAAGAGCTAACAGATTGCAAAAAAAAGAAAGAAAGAAAAAGAAATAGAGATTGTTAACTAACATGGTATAGGATTCGGGGGAAAAATAAGAGACTGGCCTCTGGTTGACAGGAATGAAATAAGCCATAGTGTAGTGGCACCTGATATTGGCTAAAAGATCTTAAGCATGGAAACTCACTTGTTCAACAAACATTTACTAAGGGCCTATTATATGCACTGTTAAGCATAAAGCTGTTTCTGCTTATGACTGCCAGATGAACCCAGTTATTTAGATACCTGAATAGTTCTCTTGCCCCAAAATGAAATAAAATCAGATTTTATCTAAGAGTCAATAAATTGTATAATGTTTTCTTCCCAATCTAATAGGAAATCCCCATTTGGAAGTACAGAAAGAAAGATTCCTGTTAAAAAGCTGGCTCCTGAATTTTCAAAAGTCAAAACAAAAACTCCTAAGCACTCTCCCATTAAAGAGGAACCCTGTGGTTCCTTATCTGAAACTGTTTGTAAACGTGAATTGAGGAGCCAAGAAACTCCAGAAAAGCCCCGGTCTTCAGTGGACACCCCGCCAAGACTCTCCACTCCCCAGAAGGGACCCAGCACCCATCCCAAGGAGAAAGCCTTCTTAAGTGAGATAGAAGATTATTTGCCGTACCTTTCCACCACAGAAATGTATTTGTGTCGTTGGCACCAGCCTCCCCCATCACCGTTACCATTACGGGAATCCTCTCCAAAGAAGGAGGAGACTGTAGCAAGTAAGGCATAGAGAACACTTGCTCTTATACCCTAGTGGTGGCGGTCAAGCTAACAAGTGTGAAAATGCCCTTGGCATTTTTAAAAAGTGCAATCAATAAAGCAGAGTTCTGTCAAGAATGAGTAAGTTAACAGCCAGAGACAGACACTGTGCAGGCATTGCAAATAGATGGAATTACAGCAAAATGTGCTCAATGTATTTGCCTGCTTACAACACTGGGAGATGTGTTTGCCAGTAAGTTGCTCATCACAAGAGCACCAGACTTGGGGGTGTAATCTCTGGCAACTTGCATGCCCTCTGAAAGAAGGGTTTTCTGTGCTGTGAAATGCATAGAACTTATACTTTGCCATGCACGACTGTTCCTGCAATTGATACTGTGTGAAACCTGGGAGGGTGGTCTTTGGGTATTCTCAGGGGCCAATGGTAATTTTTGGGTTGGGGAGCCAGCTTGGGGTGGGGAATTTCACCTGGGCCTCCGCTCTAACTATATAAACATTTATCTGTATCTCTGTGTCCCGGTCTGGGGGGCAGGAGGAATCTGCCAAAGACCAACAGTCTTACTTTATCTTACTATACTTCACAAAGGTTCTAAATGTGAAGAGTTTACTTGGATTGCAGTAGCCCATTGGTTGTTCATATATTTAAATAAAATGGTCTACAAACTATTTTTCAAACAATAAGGACTATCTTGGGATATCTGAGCTGCTTGGGGAGGGTGTGGGGTGTGGGACCTTGGTCTTCATTCCCTTTTTTTCTTTATGGCTTCCACACAGAGATGCTCCCCTATCTCCTACATCAACCAGTAACTGCAATGTGCCTTCAATCGTGTAATGTTAGTTTATGACAGTCACTGTGGATGCTCAAGGGTGATGGTGGGGAAGCCGCCTTGGATAGAGCCGCGGCCCCGAGTTCCTACCACTGTGTCTTGCCTCAGCAGGGATGGGGATGGGAATCCATTCCAATAAGACAAAAGCATTCTCCAGGCTTTGTTTAGCTGTTCTGGTGACAAAATTAAGTGGGGAAGATAGATCACTCTTCTTAATTATCTAAAATTCATTAGGTCTCACACTTGCGTACATGAAATAGACCAGGATCCTGATCTAGGTTCAGGTTTTTTGTTGGTTCAGTCAGTTGAACAGGTTCATCCTTAATGGTTAACCTTCTTGCTGCCATAGCAATGCTGTCTAACAACTTAAGAGAAACCGTGAAGCAACTTCCCATCCGGGATTGGGAAATGGCTTGGTCCAGAGCTGTTCTGTGTGACTGGCTGTTTTTGAAAACTCGATCTGCCCTAGTACAGAAAATTCCAAACACCTCTGAGATTGTGGGCATAGCATACAGAAGGAGTCTGACTGAGGGGATCCCAGCCCTTTGAGGAGCCTGAGTTGTGAATAACGTGTGAATCCTTATTCTTGATGCCCTATCTCAAGAGAAGTCTCAATGGCTTGTTCTAAGGAAGCCAAAGTCTTTGTGCATGTTGTTCAGGCTGGACCAGCAAGGTAGTTTGTTTGGAGGGAGGAGGGAGCTGTTTAAGAAGACTACATATGTAAGTTTTGAGAACACTGATCTTTTATTTGAAAAATAGGGTCAACTTTTACTCACCTGCCATGTTCTGAGTTTAAGGTTTGATATCCTTGGCCATCAACTGTTGCAGGGAAACCACCCTAAATAATGAAGAAAAGAAGTCGTCTCAGTGTAAAAAAAAAAGTGGTGGGCTTATTTTCTTTTCTTTTGTCTGTTGTTCCCTTTTCCCCTCCCCCAGAGAGAAATTCTCAAAAGAACAACTCAAAAACACCAAAATGGCTTCCTAGTGAGAACTTCAGTGATGATCCTTTCCTCCATTTTGGGTATGGGCTTTTTTTCTTTTTACACTGAGATGATTCTTCTTTCCTGCATTATTTAGGGTGTCTGATGCCATCAAGTGTTGCAGGAGAAACTTCAGTCTTGGCTGGTGAGTAGAATAGGAATTGTGCTGGCTGGGCCTGGGGTGGGGGTTGGTGGGATGGTGGATGGTTGGGAGTTGCACTCCCCATCAGCTGGATGTGGGAGAGTGAGATTCCTTGGTGTATGATTACACTGTAGACTTCAAAATGACTACAAATTTCAGTTGTTTTTCAGGAACTGCAGTAGCATCCATTATATGAATTGTCAGGTATTGGCTTAGGGTTTTTTGTGATCCTGTGTTTGGCAGACTGCAATGGCATTTTAGGTTCTTTTATACCATAGCAAGGACACTGAATATATGGCTTCAGGTGAGGCCATAGAATGGATTCCTATCACTTGGTAACTTTGTCTTATCTGGGGAGAGACCTCTTGTCCTAGTGAATAGTAGTGTTGTATGACCTTGGATTTAAGGGTGGTTCCACCCCTCCTCCCTTTCTTTTTCTTTTTCTTTTTTTTTCCAGTTCCTTCTTGGAGGGACCATTCAGTAGAGCCTCTAAGGGACCCAAATCCTTCAGACCTTTTGGAGGTAGGTACCCAAAACCTGTCAGTGGAAGGGAGTGAGAGACAAAGTAGAAATGGGGGTATAACTTGAAATGTCATAATTGTATGGATGGGTTAAATAAAACTTTAAAGCCAGAAGGGTACTTGAGAGATTATCTAGTCAAACTCCTTTGTTGTATAGATGAGAAAACTGAGGTCCAGAGCGGTTAAGTGATTTATTGAAAAATAAATAGCTTGGGAGTGTTCGAAGCTAGATTTCATGTTAGGTAGAAAAGTTAGCATGTATCCTAAAGCAACAAAATTATGTATTCCAAACTCAGTTGACTCTTAAAAGTTTGATGCTTATTTTAAACTTGGACTCTTACAAAGTATGGAGGTAGGGAGGGTTTATAGCAGTCTCAAGGGGTGCTTCAGTTTGACGTGACTTGCACTTTGAAAAGTTATGCAAATGATTTTGAAATTCGGAGATTCTACAAGGGTGGGGGGTAGGGGAAGGAGTATGTGTTTTGTTGATTCTGTCACTAGGAGGTTTCCATAATATCCATAGAATTCACAGACTCAGGTGGGACCTGAAGGTGAGATTCTACCCTCCTGGAAGCTGGAAATGAGTTAGTATACGTGTATCATATGGTGACAAGTAGCTTATCAGCTGCTGCTCTTTACACAGAACCTGGATGACAGTGTGTTTTCGAAGCGACATGCAAAACTGGAGCTGGATGAGAAGAGAAGGAAAAGGTGAGGCTAGAGTTGTTCATCCCGGGAACAACTGAGCCCTAGGACCCTGACCTCTCATCCATGCTTGGAGAGTCCTGGAGCTCTTAATATTCTTAAATTAATGGCCGCCCAATGTTGAGTATCTTAGTTTGAAGTGGTAGCTATTGCAGGTAAAGATGTTTGGCTTCTTTTTCTTCGTGTATGCCCTTCCTCAGTTCCACTCTCTGTGGAACATCAACCCATGATTTGGACTGCTGGACCTAAACAGCTCTTCCCTAACCAGGCAGGCAGTTCTTTAACACTTCACCCCCCCAAACCCCCTACCCCCAAGAAGAGTCAGCAAAGATCTCCCTAGAATCTGGATTGTTTTTATAGAGCAGGTTTTTTAGTAATGTTGGGTTTGTTTGTTTGTCTGGTTTGTTTTTCCCAGATGGGATATTCAGAGGATCAGGGAACAAAGAATTTTACAGCGTCTACAACTCAGAATGTATAAAAAGAAAGGAATTCAGGAATCTGAGCCTGAGGTTACCTCATTTTTCCCTGAGCCAGATGATGGTAAGTTTTGTCTATCTAAAAGAGTAGATTTTTCAAAGAAGAAAAAGGGTGCAAGGCTCCAGGATACAACTTGCTGTGAATGAATGAACAGTATGTTGGAACAGGTATAGTTGCTAGACAGTTCCCATCTATGTCACTAACAAGGTCACATCTGGCTTTCTTCCATAGTTGAAAGTTTGATGATTACTCCCTTCTTGCCTGTTGTAGCATTTGGACGACCGTTACCAAAATTAACTCCACAGTAAGTATAAAGGGTTTTTGGTTTTTTTTCCCTCTGCCCTCTCAGGTAGTCTGCACTTCACCTCCCTTTCAGACTTCATGAAAGCCTAGATATAAGGTGGAACAGGTGGCTTAGGGATAGCCGTGGTTCTTTGACGGAAGTGAGGCTACCTGCATAACTATAATAGCTTTTGCAGTGAACGATTCCCAAGCCAGGAATTAGGAGGATTGCTCTTTGGGTTAGAAATAGTTCATTCATTCACTTTAATAGCACACTATTGCTCTGGCTTTGAGGCAGGAAAGACATTCCAGACTTGGGCCTTGGGAGCCAGGGCTAGGAATGGTGAGGGGCATAGTGTCTTTTTTGGAATTACTCTCATGTCCACCCTGAATCCCTGCTAGTCTTGGAAGTTCATTTCCTTATCCTTTTTTGCCAGGAATTTTGAGCTGCCCTGGTTGGATGAGCGTAGCCGATGCAGGTTGGAGATCCAGAAGAAGCAAACACCTCACCGGACGTGTAGGAAATAGCTGTGCTGGCAAGAACCTTCTGTCTTCAGATAGTTGTAGCATGCCATTCCCAGAGTGGCAGAGACCTGTATATGTGACCTATGTCCTCATGTATGTTGTCATTTGCTGATAATGCCCTTCCATACTCCCTTGATCTTGGTTTTGTTTTCGTCGCGCTGATTTCACAAAAACTCTTTCATTGGGCTAATTCTGAATTATAGAGGGTGATTGGGATATCTTTTCCCCTTTTGGGGAAGTGAGCTCTCAAGCTAAATCTCTAGGATGGCAGATTTGGAAGCTTCAGGGGTCTGCTTCTATACATTTGCCTGTTAAAGGGGTAAAAGGGTTCTTTCATTAGACTTGTGGAAGATAAAGCAACCCCTGCCTTTAGACCTGTGCCTGCATGGCACTCTTCTCGCCCTGGCATATCTTTCCATATAGTTTGAGTGTAGTGGTTTTTACCCTAAAACAAAACAAAAAAACATCACCATGAGCTAAAGGACCAGATGAGGAATAACAAGTGAAGTGATGAAGCAAGTCATCTTCACAGGGTAGAAAAGAGATTGGAGAGTTGGTAGATACATGTCTTAAAAGACAGTTGTTCTCTTAAAACTATTCTGTGATATAGCCATGTGCGAAGGAATATTGGCTGTGACTTATTTTCTTAGTTAATGGGTAACTGAATTTGTTACCCCACCCCTCAACATATAAAATCTTTGGAAAAGAGAATGGGGAGTGGTTAGTTTTGGATAAATTATGGCTCTAAACGAAAGCAGTTGACATTTGGGGATGGCATGCCAGAACCTGTATAGATGTCCTTGTGTCACATCACTTTGCAAGTATTCCTTAGTTGGACTTTATCCTTTTAGCTGAGCTCTTGGTGGTGGGATAGAGATTTAGGGAGGGTGGGGGGTTTATGTGGAAATATGTGCTTCCTTTGGCTGGCAAATGTCTACATCTTGAAACAAACAGATGTACCTAATGAGCTTCTCCATTCATTCTGTAAAAATAGATTTGTGTGTGTACCATCTTGGTCCCCCCACCCCACCCCACCCCTTTTGTTAAAAAAATGTCAAGACAGCACTCCAGGCCACTTTGGTCTCAGTTAAGATCCCTGTAACTATCTGGAAGGAAAATAGAGCCAAGACCTCTGGTCTTAAATATATAGGAATTGCCTTTCTTTAGTCTTCAGGACTATTGTGTGAAAACAAGTAGGGGTCTAATCTCCTAGAAGATAGGGGCTTTTATCCTTGAAGAGAATATGTCCCCAGATTATTAGCACTTTTAGAGGAGAAGCCAAGGTATGTAGGGTGTGTGGCCGGCCCATCAGCGGAGCGTGCGAGAATGGGATACCATTGTGGGAAGAAAAAAGTTCCTCAGGGGCCTCCCACTGCTACAGCTTTTTGTGAGATGTTGATCTGTGCTCCCTGGGTTTGACTTTTAAATTAATTATTCCGGCAGCACATGTAGTGTTCTTGGGTGATCTTGCTGCTCTTATTTCTCCTTCTGTGTGTGTGTGTGTCTATGGGTTTTCATTTGTAACTCCATCTGCTTAGGAGAGTGGGCTCTCCACAAGGGAACCTGCTGTGAACTTCACTGCAACAAGAATGTAGAGAAATAGGACTTATTCCACTAGGGGCTCTCATCTCACACCTTAAGGAGAGGAAGGAGAATTCTAGAAAAATTGGGCCAGATTTTCTTTGTTCTCCATTATTTTAATATGGCAAGCTGTTTGGCTTTCCTGCTCTGACCTATGTTATGTTTTTTTTTTTTTTTTAAGATTTTTATTGGGGAATTGGGGGAGGGGAACAGACAAGTTGCTATCCTTTTGTTCTTCAGTTTAGTTGCGGAGGACGTCTCTTCACTGGCCCATGTTGGTTATTATCATTGTGCTCTTCCCTGCTGAGGCAGATCGGTCGCCAGCCACTGGACGGCTGCTCATGGTGGCTCTTGGCAGCTCACCGCGGCTGCTGGCCGTTCACACTGGCTGCTGGCCACTCACAATAGCTTATGGCAGCCCACTGCAGCAGGGGCTGCAGTCTACGCCGTCGTTGGTGACTCACGGCAGTCCAGCTCCAGGTCGAGCTGTTGTTCACCATCTTAGCTATAGAGGGCTAGTGACATGTGGGATCCGAACCGGGGCCCTGCTGCTCAGAGCTGGCGTCCCAAGCCAACTCCTAACCAACGTGCCACTCGGCTGGCCCCTATGTTATGTTTCTTTATAATGTACCCCCAAAGAAAAAAAGACCAGTGTCTCTTTACTTTGTTCCTTGATTCCTCTCAGTTTCTTCTTGATTTTCAGCATTTGTTGGATTCCAAATTTGGATATGGGTTAGCAAATTAACGTTTTGCTTGTGCCCTACCCAGGGAACTCTCCAGATTCTGAACTTAAGCTAGACTAAGAGGAATCCATGAGGTGCTACCTGGCCAGACTTAAGTGGATTCTGTTTCCTTGGTTCTCACTCCACCTAGGACCCTTATTGTCCCCTCTTCTAGATCAGTTCTCCTTTGATTTGGATATGCTGAAGCTTGTTGAGAAGGAGGTTGGAGAGTAGATTAGCAAAGTTCCAAGAATGAAATTACAGTGTGTTAGAGTGTGGGGGGGAAAATTCGTTTTATTTTTTTCCCTACATGGGATACAACACTGTGAAATTCAATCTTTAACTGAAGGCCCTGCAGTTCTCCTAAAACATAGTTCTTTGTTTCTTTCTTTAACAAAGTTTAAGCTAGTGTTAATAAATTAAAAAGAGAAATTGCTTGTCTGTCCACTTCAGCTTTGTTTTAAGCCCATTTCATATTGTTGTCTGTGTTGTAATTCATACTTTTGATACCATTTCTGATGTGTAAAATTGGTTGTCTTGTAAATATCTTATAAAGAGTTCAATTGTAAATAAACTATTGTGGCTGTTAATTTTTGAACTTCTGCTTCGATTTATTTTATCGGGAAGCATCAAACAATTCTGCTTGTAGATTTCAAAAGATTAGGAAAAAATCCATTTCACAAAATACAAAACATACCATTTTCCCTTTTATATAAGGAATGCATTTACATTTGTGTATGAGCACAATGTACTCATATGTTTCATCCCTCTTTGTCCTGTGTTCTTCCTTACACATATTGGCAACTTTAAAAACGAGATTATAAGATAGGATTCTTGGTGCCTGGTATCTAAATTAATAAAACCTCAAAGTTGGAAAGGCCTTAGCGGTCATCTAGTCTGACCTCTAATACATGATTTCCCCTTGATAACATTCCAGACAAATGAAGTCCAGATTCTGTTCCAACATTTTAGGTGTTTTTCCTATACATTTTTTTTCTAAATGTTAGAAAATTCTTCCTTGTTGACAAAATCTTAACTTCTTATAATTCAAACCCATCAGTTCTCGCTTTGCCTTCCAGAATGAAGAAAAAAGATCAACTCTTTCTTTTCCTCATAGTCCCCTGATTTAAAGATTCCTGTGGCTATCCCAACTCCTCTCTTCATGGTAAACACTCAGAGATATTACACTTGTTCCTCAAAAGAAAGGATTTTGAATTTTTCAGTTCCCTCTCTATGAGTGAACAATTCGCTCATGTCCATTTAAAAATTGAACCCAGACCAAATAACTGAAAGGCAAAGTGGCCGACAATCACTTTCCTTATTTAGACACTAAACTTGGCAGCCTCATTTGCATCAATTTACCTTGTGATCAATAAGAGCCTCCAGGTTTTTTTGTTTGTTTTTTTTCCTTTTTAAACACTAAATCATACATCTTCCATTTTGAACTTGGGCAGTTGGTTTTTGGAGCTGGATTTACAAGTCGTCACATTTGGCCACTTGTTTAACCAGTTGAGATCTGTTTGGATCCTGATTCTATCTCTGAAGGCATTCCAAATGCCTTCTAGTTTCATATTGTCTATAAATTTGATAAGCATCAGGATCCTTAACCGTATATAATTTGTAAAAATATTTCACATGACAGCATCTTGTACTGTGCCATAGTGACCTTTCTGTTTAATGTGCACTCCTGAAGGTGCACTGACAACTTAGCTCACACATCTTGTATGTCCTTATTATAGTCCAAAGAAATTATATTTTTTTCATTGCTGAGAAATGCCTTGTCAAAATTAAGGCATTCCCTCATCTACTCATCGGGTAACCCTTAACAAGAAGGAAATTATGTCAATATACTGAACCAACAGGTTCCTATGATCATCTCTTTTTAAATGGGTTCTAAAAATCTTAAGAGTAGCATCATTCCAGCCTGCACTTTGGGGGAAGTGATGGTTGGGATGGGAAAGACACATGAAAAGGGAAGAGGAAATGAGAACTCGGGGAAAATGCTGCGACACTAAGTCCTCGGGCTTCACTGCAGACAACTGGTTTCTCCTTTGCCCTTTAGCTTAAAATGGGATGGTGTGGCAAATCTGATGCAGCACACAGGCTTTAGAGGTTTACCTTGATTCGTGATTTTACAAAACAAGTGGAGTAAAATGATTTGCTTCAAATGTAGGCAGAAACGAGAAATGGAAAAAGGAAACCATGAAACAGCTCCAATGGCGCAGTGAAGTTATGACAGGTCGACGCCTTCCACTGGGAAAGCTCAAGATGGCCGGGTGAGGAGCCGAAAGACGCTGCCAAACACAGCTCCCCTCGCCCGGGGCCTAGCCAGGGGAAGTCAGGGGGCGCGCCACGCCCCCTCACGTCACCGACTTACGTAATCCCGCTCTCCCACAAACGTGCCGCAGAGCGCCAGCCCCGCTCTATATGCGGGGCGGTCAGCGCCGCACGTGAAGCATGCTGGGAATAGCTCTCTAGCCTCCCGGCAGTCCCTGCGACGGGCGTACGTAAGGAGCAGGCTGGCGGCGGCCGTTCTCCGTAAGATGGCGGACCGGCGGCGACAGCGCGCTTCGCAGGATACCGAGGACGAAGAGTCTGGTGCTTCCGGCTCAGACAGCGGAGGTTCCCCGGCGCGGGGCGGCGGGAGCTGCAGCGGTAGCGCTGGAGGTGGCGGCAGCGGCTCTCTGCCTTCCCAGCGCGGAGGCCGAGCCGGGGCCCTTCATCTGCGACGGGTGGAGAGCGGGGGTGCCAAGAGCGCTGAAGAGTCCGAGTGTGTGAGTGCGCACGGGCGGGGCGGGCCGGGCAGGTGGCGTCCCGGCCTGGAGGCGGGGTGTAGGTGATGATCGGAGACTGGAAGTTGATGGTAGTTGCTGGGGCATATTATGTTGGGAGTAGAGGACAGCTATCCCAGTGCGGTTTGCATTCGGAACCCCAAGGGAAAGGGGGGAGGGGTTGGGGGGTTCCTGCGAGGGGTGCAGAGCGCTGCAGATGGACAGCCAATGTTTATTGAGAAATTGAGGCTAGAGGTGAAGAGAACGGACCTCCCCCCTCGGATGCTACTTGTTGAAGATGTACCGTTCCTTATCTCCCTTTTCAACCGTTTTTGCGTTGTCTTCAGCTCTCTGCCCCCTGGAAATAACAGAACTAACCCATGACTTCTCCTTTTCTTTAGGAGAGTGAAGATGGCATCGAAGGCGATGGTGAGTAACGTCATGAGTTTTTTGCCCAAAAACACAGGTCACCTTTTTCCAGCAATTGACATCCTCTTAGACTGTTATGGATTTGGGGGAGTTTGATACAGAGTGGCCCTTTGTGCTTAGTGCTTAAGAGCTATATTTTAGCAGTATGATCTTGGGCAAGTCACTCTTTGAGCCTGTTGCCTATTGGAATAGGGAACTACAATTTTACCTATCTCATAGGTTGATGTCAGAATTAAATGAGATTTTTTAGCCTGATCCACAGCAAGAAGTCAAGAAATATAATAATTTCTGCTGCATTTTTTTCTTTACATATTTCTGTTTTGTTTCAGCTGTTCTCTCAGATTATGAAAGTGCAGAAGACTCAGAAGTGAGTACAGGGGGTTCTTTTTCTTTTGGTGTAGGTTGGGAAATTATTTTGAAAACATGTACACACCTGTGATTCAAAAGTACTGTGACTGACTTGTTATTTTTCTTGTGCACTCTTCATTTATGCTTCTGAAAAACTGTTAACAAAGTCCTTGTTTAGTAAGAGTGAGGGAAACTTGGTGTAAGCCTCTTTAGGCCACACGTGTTACACTCTTAGTAGTTGGCTTTTCACACTATCTGAAGAAAATAAGGTTCTAAATAAGAGAATGAGAACATTCTGAAGCCTTTCACAGGCCATTTGACAGTTCATTTTATGCTGGCTAGGTAGTGAAGCCAACCAGTTGGGTTTTGTTTGTTTTGTTTTTTTAAGTGTATCTGAAGACCTTGAAAGGGCAGAATTCAGAGTGGTTTTTGTCAGAAACATTCTTCAGTTTATAGATGGGGTTTTTGTTTCAGTTTATAGACAAGGTTTTTGTCAGAAACATCCTTCAGTTTATAGATGGGGCTTAGGTTTCCTTAAGCCAAGCTTTTGCGAGTTTACTTGTTTTGATTGAATAAACTACAAGAGATGCCGTTAGAATGGCTGTTTCCTGGGGTTGTTGAATAGAGTCCTGAGTTCTGGATTTGGGTCATTGGGTTATACACGAGAGGAATTGGATTATGGATCAAAAGTTCATTCTATAAATTTTAAAGAACTGTCACTACATGTTAGACTTTCCGTTAAGCCCTAGAGATGCAACAGTGAACACTATGACAAAATTCCTAAATTTAGGAATTTTACGACTTAGTCAGGAAGTCAGACAAGCATTCAGGAAGTCATAGGAATTGGTGACAACCGTTGGAGGATAGGGTTAAATAGGGCGTTAATGGCTGGGTACTGAATGCATCTTAGGCAGTCAGGAAAGAATAAATGGGAGTTAGCCAGGCAAACCATGTTCTAGGCCAGGGTTCGGCAAACTTTTGAGTCGGAAGAGCCAATCCTGTCCCTTGAAGTTTTGCGAGACCTATAAAACAAATGAAATCACCATTAGGTGAATAATATCCTTTAAAATTTTTGTAAATGAAACTATGATAGTTTTATTTTCATTTTCAATTTTACTTCAGAGCCACATGTACGTACCCAAAGATCCGCATATAGCTCGCGAGCCGCAGTTTGCTGACCCCTGTTCTAGGCAGAGGGAACAACAGGTGCGAAAGCCCAGAGACATGAGAGAAGATTGACTGAGAACTTGAAAGTGTGACTGGAACATTGTTGGGACAGGATGGATACCAGAAATAAAGGCAAATTAGTGATCAGGGACCAGATCATGAAGAGGCTTACTTGTTTCTTCTCAGAGCATGTTAAGTACATGCTCTGTGCCAGGAGTTGTACTAGGCACTGGAATAAAAGACAGACATGGTTCTACCCTCGTGGAATTTACATTTTTGTTCAGAAGAGGAATATAGATAAGTAATAATTACCACGTTTGGCAAGTGCCATGATCCCATTTGGAAACATAGGATGCTTTGGGAGCACAGAGCAGGGGCAACTAGCTGGATTTAGGGTGTTTGGAAACGCCTAGAGGCTAGGATGTTAAAATAGAGACCTGAAGGATGAGTAGGAGAACCAGGCATAGCTTTCTAAGCAGAGGGAACACCGTCTGGGAAGGTCTAGAAGGAGTGGACTGCATGATGAGTTGGAGGATGTGAAAAGTTAGTATGACTGAGTGGTAAGGGATGAGTCCGGGTCTAAATCTTAAAGTAACTTATAAGTAAGACAGGTTAAAAAGTATTTGAATTTTATTCTAAGGAAGTGAAAAAACATAACAGGGTTTTAAGCAAGAGTAGGTTATGATTAGACTTAACTTTCAAAGCACTGTTTGTCAGATCTAAGGAACACCTGCATGAGAAAATTCAGTTGGCCAGTCCTCTTGAAACAGACTCTTCAGAGGGAGGGAAGACTGAGACATTTATGTGTTAAGATTCCAGGTTGATGCTTACGCACAGTAAAATTTGAGAATTTTTATAACAATTATTTTGTCTGCAGTAGGGAGAGTTGATCCGAGGGCAGCAAGATTTGAGACAGAAATGCTAGTTAAAAAAGCTATTGTGGAAGTCTAGGCAAGCAGTGAGTTTGGCATGGAGTGGAATGGTAGCAGTGAAAATAGAACTGGACAGAACTAAAAGTTATTTCAGTTTTGGAATTGACAGAATATGATGACTTTTACTTTCTCTGAAGTCTGTGAAGTTATCTGCAAAGAGTAAAAGGGAGGTGAGAGGTTTTGGGGTGAGGAATGTTTGGAGCAGTCAGTAGAGAATAGAAACATTGGAAAGACTGCTATGTAGTTTGGAGTTTTCAGTGAGGTTTGGTGATTGAATTTATAGCAACATTATTCTGTATGTACATGAGTTTGGATGTTATCCTAATAGCAAGGAAAGAAAGGCTACTGAAGGCTTAAGTGTGGCGGATGAATTGTGGATGAGGCAAGACTGGAGGCAGGGAGAGCTGTTCAGAGGTTGTTAAGATAGTCCAAGGAACACGATGGGGCCCTATAGAAGGGACATACATGGCAATGGTACTGGCAAGATGTAGACAGATTTGAGAGATTTAGGTGGTACTTACTAACAGAACTTCTTGATTGATTGAATATGAAGCCTACATTAAGAAGGAGTCAGAGGGATGCCCAGGCTGGTGAATGGTGTTATTTACTAAGAATGGGACCATAGGAGGAGGAGGTTTCAGGAAGGACAGTAGTGGGTTAAATTTTGGATGTTTTGGGATTGAGGAACCTGTGGTAGTCACCAGCCAAAAATGGCTATTTAAATTTAAATTAATTAAAGTTAAGTTAAAACTTCAGTTTCTCAGTTGGAATAGCTACATTTTACGTACTCATTAGCCACGTATGGCTAGTGGGTGCTGTGTTGGACAGCACACACAAAAACACTATGGGATTGTGCTGGTCTAGATTAGAGAAAAAGATTTTATATCCCGACTTTCATAGTGCTCTGTTACACGCTTGCATTTCTTGTTGGGTATTAACTGTGTATACCTAGACATTACAGTTTTGTCTTGCCTATTTCTTAAAATTTGATCTGTCTCTTAGTCTACAGGTTAGTTTTTCATCCTTTTCTTTTCCTTACAATTTATCTGTTGAAAATATTCTGGTGGTTGTTCACTTATGGTCCAATTCAATGTGTTTCCACTGTCCTTTGTATTTCTTGCAAATTGGTATTTTCAGATTAATGGAAACACATGTTAACCCAAGATTTTATCTTGAGCCAAACTGATGATCACCTAATTTTCTTTCCCTTACAAGTTACTTGCTGTTTTTAGATATACTCAGGATATTTTCTGTAAGGTCCAGTAATTCTATTAGAATTTGTCTCGGTGTTGATCATTGTAGGTCAGTGTTCACAGATAGATGTGCTCTGCAGTATATCAGAGAACTCCTAAATATTTGTCTGTCTTCAATATTTTACCCTTTCTAATCCTTTTTATCTTTTTATTTCTTTTTGATTTTAAATACTTATTTTTCACTTTTTATTTCTCTTATGGCATTACTGTTGTATTCACTTTTGTGTTTTTAGTTGATACTATATTTGAAATGATTTTTTTTCTTTAATTTCCAATACCTTCCTGAGTTCTTTAATTTCATTTTTGAATTTTTCGAATTCTCACTGATGTTCTTTCATGCCTCATGTAATTTTCGTAATGTCTTTTTAGCGCATTTGGAAATAAAAAGTTACAACTTTGATTTGATATGTGCATGTCTTTTGGCATGCTTTCATTGTCTGTAGAAATATTATTCTACTTATTTTTTTTCCTTATAATAAGTTTATATGGTATTTGACCTCTGTATTTTTCTGTTTTTGATTTTTATGTAAAATTAGTTTACCTAATCTTTTAGAAGTAACTCAGAATAGCTTTTTCTAGCTCCACAGAGCTCCCTCTTCTGTTGTTTTCCTGCAGTGTTAAGAATATATAATGGCTTGCTTCCTGAGATTTCCTGCTTTTGTTCCCCTCCCTAACTTGTTTTGTACCTTCTCTTTCATTCATTCCGTTTATCCCTCTTCCTCTCAGTAGTTTCTCTTCAGTGTTGGGACCCTATCCTAGAAAGGATCCCTGGTAGCCAGGTCAGTTTTCAAGATTTCATAAGGGTTAGCCTGCTCTAGTCCCATTCAGACCTTCTTGTTGCAGGATCCTTCTGCTCACGTGCTACTAGAAACAGGAAACTCTTGCCGAGTTTCAACTGTTGTTCTCAGTTTTGCTTTTCATTGGCTGCCTGTTGATTATTTCAGGGTTCTCCTGTTCTCAGATCCATTTACTGCTCTCTGCTTTCTCTGTCATTGACACCAATCTGATGCAAGTCTTAATGGCTGTTGGTGCTTTGTTCTTATGTGCTTATATTTTGGGGTCTTAGGGATACCTTATGACCTAGTTTTATTGTAAATGTCAAAGGGTTTTGATTTTGCCGTCTAGAAGCTCTCATTTCATGTGGAGATTTGAAGACATCAAAAACTATGCTACTGCCTTTTTCCCAGAATCTTTCAAAAAAAAAATTATAAAGAAACTTGACTATGAAGGGGAGGCTAGAGAGATGGTAGCTGGAAAGAAGCCAATGAGGTTACGAGAGGGTTTGGTGGGTATTTTTTAAAGTTGGAGAATAAAGATTGAAGGGATGAGTAGAAAGGGAAAGAAAAGGGAGGGTAGGTAATGAATGTACTGGTGTTCTTGACTGAGTATGGGAGAAATAGGAACCAGACAAGGGAAACATCTTCCAATGTCATCACAGAGAGGTGGGAAGGAAAGGTGTGTAGGGGAAGAAGCTGGTGTGCCCTTCTGTGTTTTGTTTTCTTTGTGAAACAGAAGGAAAGACTTGGAGAAGGAGGTTGGTGGAGGAGTGAGGTAGGAGTTTGAGACTCCTAAAGGAGGTTTGAGTAGCTGAGGTTGGAGGTGGCACGGATATGTGAAGTTATCTTAACTCTTTCAGTGATAGTCAGTAGTCTGGTTACAGGCCTAGA